CAAAGAGTCCAAACATTTTATGTGCGCCCCTCTCCCCTTCCTTCCGCCTCCAACTACACAGACAAGCATGGACACAAAAAAATTAAAAAAATGAAAGAGAGAAAAGGGGATTTCGCATACTTTAATCAACGTCCTTCCAAAGCTGGCCTCTTCATCAGCAATGATTTCCCTTATCTTTATCTCATGTTGCTTCAGCTCTGGGAAAACATCACCCATCACTTCCACCAAAACTTTTACAAGCCTGTTTTCAACAGAATAATATTTGAATATGAAAAATCACATGCAAGATTCATGTAACCCATAATTTTCATAGCAGAAAAATTAGAAAACTATGTCTTCCATTCATACCCATTGAAAAAACCTTGTTCTGCTTTCAGGACCTCGGTGCCATATCGCACGGCTCGACGTAGGATGCGCCTTAGGACATATTCACGACCCTCATTGCCTGCAAACCAGTAGAATGTATTCTAAAGACATCATTTCAAATGTCAAAATTAAGATTATAGATAGATAATAAAAACAAAGTGCAACGTTCTATTAAATATTATCCAATAGGCTGATCATAATTAGCCCCCATTAATTTCCATTTCATTACATTTCATTTTTTTCTCTCCTATTTTCAACCACAATCTTCCATAAAATAATATTATACATAAACCAAAAACTTTTCCTTCTTTTTCAACCACTCATTTTTCAAAAGAACAATATTCCACCTATTTTCAACTCCACAAATTGGGGGCCAAACGGGGGCTTAATGTTCAAACACAACTAAAGTAAGACACCTCTAAATCTAGAGGCCACATAACAAAGTACCAAAACTTTCTCTATACAAACCCACAAATGTAAACACAATAACAGAAACAAAAAAGCAGAATAAAGCAGACCCAAAACTGACACTGAACATAAATATATGAATTCAAAAAATGTAAAAGTTCATGTGTGTGTACACAGAACAGACAATGAGTAAGAGTTCTTCAAACTGTAGAGCTCATTCACCTCCAAGAATATAACATTAGAATGAAGATAAATTGAGCTTAAAATAAGCAATTTCTTACAGAAAATATAGCAACAACCTTTGCCCATTCTCCCTTAAAACTCATGCACAAATGAGCAACTAATGATCATTTATTTCTTACTTTATAAGGTATTACATGATCAAAACTAAACATCTGCACATAGTTAGCATAAACATGCAGCTGTTCGTCAACATTTGCTGAATAATTCAGAAATATGTCAACATACACAATGTTAGTTGTCACCGGCAGAGCTGACAAAGTTCATGTTCACGTGCTACTATAAAATGCAAGTTAATGACAACACGAGAACCTAGGTATTAAATGAATGACTAAGTAATTCTAGTTATGTACCTGGGCAAGAGCCATCAGCAATGGCAAAAGACAGTGTTCTAATGTGGTCCGCCACAACCCTATATGCCATATCAACATTGTCAATGTCGTCAGATCCAACTTTGCCGGAGTATGGCTGAGCTCCAGTTGCCTGCCAAAAGATTAAAAACTACTCAGAATATAATTTCCACAAAGTAATAAAAATTAATTTTAGAGCAGTTAGAAACTGGCTCAACCTTTTTTATTTATTCTAATTTTGTCAAATTGTAATCCTTCACATGAAAGACATTTAAATTCTCAAAATTATATTAAATTTTGGTTGTGACTTAACCTGTTGTATTGCGTCAAAGATGCGCAAGAAAACGTCAGTGTCATAATTGCTCATCTTATTCTGAAGAATGGAGGTTAATCTTTCAAAACCCATTCCAGTGTCAACATGTTTAGCCGGTAGAGATTTCAAGGAGCCATCAGCCTCCCTGTTAAACTGTGGAAGAGACATCAAGAAAGTTATGCATCTCATCAGTTGACAAAAAAATGAAACAGTAAGTTGTTAACCATAAACACATAGAGCTCCAATAGGACAAGAGTGAAGAATGGACCTGAATAAACACAAGATTCCATATCTCAATGCATGTAGGATCATCATAGTTTACCAGCGAAGCAGCGTTGCGATTACCAATTCTATCAAAATGAATTTCTGTGCAGGGTCCACAAGGCCCAGTATCTCCCATCTCCCAAAAGTTGTCCTATTCGAAGTCGTGCAAGGACTTAAAATAAAATAAAAACTTCCAAAGATTTCTTGATAAAAACATGTCTTTCCAGTAATAATTATTGTCTCATTAAAAGGAAAGTAACTGTTAAATGTAAGGGCCACAGAAACTGGACCCAATCACCAAATCCAGTTCAAATGCAGAAAATGAACTTACTTTACAACCAAAAGGCAAAACACGGGCAGGTGGGAGAAACTTGAGCCAATTATCCCTTGCTTCAGAATCGGCAGGAAGGCCAAGTTTCTCATCGCCCCCAAAATAAGTGGCATAAATTCTATCCTGTGGTAATTTATACACCTGAAAGAAATGATACAGTTGAAAATAAAAAAAATAAAAAAAAAATGAATCAGTTTTGTATGCATGTTCGTATACATGTGTGCAGTAGAAGTGCGGGAAACTCGCCTTAGTTAGAAGCTCCCAAGCCCATTGAATTGCCTCATTCTTAAAATAGTCTCCAAACGACCAATTACCAAGCATTTCGAAAAAGGTATGAACACGGGCAGGTGGGAGAAACTTGAGCCAATTATCCCTTGCTTCAGAATCGGCAGGAAGGCCAAGTTTCTCATCGCCCCCAAAATAAGTGGCATAAAATCTATCCTGTGGTAATTTATACACCTGAAAGAAATGATACAGTTGAAAATTAAAAAAATAAAAATAAAATGAATCAGTTTTGTATGCATGTTCGTATACATGTGTGCAGTAGAAGTGCGGGAAACTCGCCTTAGTTAGAAGCTCCCAAGCCCATTGAATTGCCTCATTCTTAAAATAGTCTCCAAACGACCAATTACCAAGCATTTCGAAAAAGGTATGATGATAAGTGTCCTTGCCCACGTCGTCGAGATCGTTGTGCTTGCCACCTGCTCGGATGCACTTCTGGGTATTGCAAGCGCGGGTCAGTTTGCTTAACTCAGTGTTGGGATCAACCGTACCCAGGAAAATTGGCTTGAACTGATTCATGCCTGCCATACACAGACACACAGCAATAGCAGTATACAATTTGCAGAGAAAGGTAAATAAGGAATTTAGCAATTAGTAAAAGGAAAAACTTTACCGGCATTAGCAAAGAGAAGGGTAGGATCACTATGAGGAACAACGGGGCTTGATTTCCAGTGGACATGGCCTTTTTCCTCGAAGAATTTGATGAAAGTGTCCCTGACTCGGTTGGCCGGCCACTCCAATTCACTAGACTGAGATCCCATCGCTGATTCCGATAACGCTTCTTCTCTCCTGCTACTACTACTGATATAGCTAATACTGCGTCTCAGAACAAGAAGAATCCTAGTTTTCCAAAACGATGATGAGGGTGAAACAGCCGCCGGCAACGGCAAATGATTATGCGGTGAACGAGGCAACCGCGGCGGCGGCGGCAGAACTGTAGGAAGTAGGGTGCTGAATGGTAACGCCAAAGGATTGGAGAAAATGCTCCTCTTACAATAAACCCTCATCCACAGTCCGAATCCTCCAAATACTAACCCCCATTTATTATGGTTATTATTTAATTAAAGTCCCTCTCTCCCATTTAAATATATCAAAATATTTGACCAACTGGGTTTGATTTTTCCCAAATATAAATGAGGGGGATATTAGCCTCGTTTCTAGCAATTTTTCACAAAAAAAATAAAAAAAAATCAATTTCGATTGTTATTTTACTATTTTAGTCTTTATTTTTTACTTCTTTATTTATAGGTGGAATCCATTTTTTTCTCTAACGATCAAAAAATCAATTCTCATAATCAATACCGAACAAAACCTTAATTTCAATTTAGTATTTCAAATTCAATTAATTTTAAATTCAATGCTCGACTTTCTTTCCCCCGAAAAATATGTTTTATTGTAATGACTAAAAAGTAAATAAAAGTTATTTTTAAATAATCAAAGTTTTGTTCTTTTTTGGTAAAAGCTAAAGCTATTTATGCTTTTACGTAAAGAAGTTTATGCTCTTCCTTGTAAATAGGAATTTTGCATTAGTTCACGGTTTACTCATAGAAAGAAATAGTACAACATTTAAGAATAATGCTAATTGTACATTCCACAGTTAATATTTTGGTATACATTCCATGGAAATTCAATAGGTGTTTAACGGCAAAGTATGTTTTTTCAAAGTTATCCATTCATACGTCATCACATGACACAATGTCAAAAGAACATGAGTGCAGGATGATTGAAATTTGAAACGGTGATAGAGTAATGTTGTATCATTGGTATAACAAAAGATAAGGCATAATAATTCACAAACTCATTGTAGAACAAGGAAAATTAAGCCCTAATTTGACAATTAATATTTGAAAACTCTTTTTTCTACATACTTATTTTCAACCACACATTAACACAATAAATTATTATGAACGCAATTTCAAAGCTTTTCACTTCTTTTTAACCACACATTCTTCTAAAAATCACCATCCAAAACATTGTTTTTCAAAAATAATGGTTGTCAAACGGGTGCTAAGTGCAAGTTAGGAATAAAGAATAAACACTATGGTCGGAAAACATCGTTCATCTCATTGCAACCTCAACCTCCCATTTCGCTTATGATCGATTGAATCCACCATTTTCTTTGCCCTTTCAGGTCCAAAGGACTAAAAACCAATCAAGTTGATCAAAAACCGTCACTTCGGAAGTGCAATATCGTGATTCCATCCCCTTTGTTATATAAATCACTGCCTTCAAATTTTGAGTGCAGCACAAACAGTTCAGCGAGCTTATTGAGATTTGAGGCGAGCCCTCTGTGCTATCATTGAGCTAGCAATTTGACAATTTCACCTTCGTGAGATGGTGTACGTGTTACAAGAAGATATATTTCATGACATCGATATTGAGATCGTTTATGAGATATTTTCAAATAATAAAAACCCATGTGAACCAGTGTCATGGATCAAAATAATATTTTTAAAATTTTTTATCCATATTTAATTCACACCCCAACACAAAACATTAAGTAAATGTCAAAATTAGGAAAACAGAACATAGTTCATCGCGACCAACATCTGAAGTTTACCAACATTAACACACAGTGAAACACTAGTAGCAACAGAAAAACGCCAGAGTAAGTCTGTTTTTACAAGCGTAGTAGTTCACTTTATTATAAAAAGTTTCATAGTCGGGATTTGGTATTGCTGTTAGTTTTATAGTTAAGAGTTATCAGACTCCATCTGATTCAAGTGGAAACCACCTTCATTATTCTTGTGCACCTCGACCTTGAATTTCTCTTCTTTTCCTCCTCGGTTGACCTTCAGAAGCATGTCGAACTTGGCAGACTCCTCAACAACCTATTCAAGAAGTTCAACATTATTAGGCATTCAGCTTGGTTGAACTTAATACCAACTTGGACATATTCTGGAATTAACTGATTCCGATTCTTGTATCAAAACATAGTGGAAGGATGGAAAGTTGAAAACATCTACACCCTCTAGAATTTAGAAACAGAATATGCATGTACTTTTCAAAGAAGAAGACGACTAGAACACAAAATTGCATGTTACGTCCCATACATCAGCCTAAAATATGAACTGAGGAAAAAAAAAATTTTCTTTAAGGTTGGGGTTTATGGGGAGATTGGAGAATGGCGAGCCCACAATTTGTGTGATACCATACTGCATCCTATGAAACAAGATGAGCCAAACAAACTACAAAATATTGAATTTTGGCAGGAGAGTAGGACACAAATGAAACACGTAGGAGAATATAATACAAAGGAACACCACGAAACATTCATAAAAGAAAAACTCAAAAGTCTTAAACCACTACAAGGATAGTATTGGTCCATGCTCTGACACGAAAGGTCTACATCAAAGCCCAATTTTATACATGGTAAAGAGACAACCACTTATTTGGAACGGACAATAGACCAATCGCAAAAGTAGAATTGAAACATCTCTAATACCAGTTGATGATCCACAACCATCTAATTATCCTTTCCTTTGTACAAAACACTTATCATACTCTTAACCCAGGGGACGTGTCCGACCGCTGGTAGACATTGAAGATATCATTGTTTCTTAGATCCATGATAAGAATAAAAAATAAAATAAAATCCCTAAGAGACACACCGGTACACGAACTTCCCTTGCAACAGTAATTTGTCAAGTCAAGAATTATAAATCTTGTGTTTATAAATGTTGATGATACCTCACAATGACCACTGAAAAGAAAAAAGAGAGGTCTCTAAAGCTCCCAAGAGTTAATCAGTTTACACTTCATGAAGAGAATTTTCCATATCAAAAGGAAAGTACTTAATGTGCTGAAAGTGGATTCACAGACCTTGTAAAATGATATCCAGGTCATCTCAACAGCCATATAACCACTATGTCAAGTGTGAAAGTCACGTACCTCAGCTTTTGCATGAACTATCTCTCTAAGTTCATAAGGAAATAAAGAGTTAGATCTCTCCTGGATTGTCTTAACTGCATGATGTGCAGCATCTTGAACAACAGGATCTTGCACTGGCACTGATCTCCATCCTGAGCATTGCGCATCTGGTTTTTACTCCAATCAGTCACAACAAAAGCATAATATAAGAAAAGCTGGTCCAGTATTGCCATTTGAAAAGTTATGCCATAGATAAAATGACAAATGTCATACTTAAATCAAAATACTCAGCTATTAAAAGGGTAAAAGGATGCCACATCAATAAGTAAATTATTTTTATACTCTAACAAAGTTGATGTTAAATCATTTATCCACACAGTTCATCCTCAAGCATGAGTGTCACTATAACCTCTCTGTGTCAATATGGACAGACAGCCAGATTTCGGTCAAGATTTGAGACAACTCAAGTTAAAACATTACCTGCAATGTACACAGCTTTTGCTGCAATGCCTCAAAGTATGACACAAACACCTAATACTTGTATGCTGTGAAAAGCTAATCGTTTAAACTGGTATACTCAAATTTCTACAGAGAAGATATCATGTATGGTTCATCTACAGGTATCATTATCAAACAACACAAATTTTGAGGAGGCAACAGATTCTATTGAGATAAAGTTCAACAAAGGGTTGGCTAACTACCTTTTTTAACACCCAGGTCAGATGAGGTAAAGGAAGGAACATCTCCGACATGCTTGAATTCTTGTAGCTCTTTAAAGTTCATCCATGGCTTTACCCAAACCTTCGCTTCATAAAGTTTCTTCTTTCCAGATTCAATGACCTCAAGTGTAAGATGATGCAAAGTGCCAGAAACCACTTGTTCTTGTGCCTTTACAACCCTCGCCAACTCAAGCAATGCATTCTGAAGGACATGGGCATTAATAACTTGTTAGAGACTGCAAAATGTTGTGGAGCCCAAAAACAGCAGATAGATTATTTGTTCTTTCCTCCTTTTTTTTTTTTTTTTTTTGGAATCAAATTAATACAGGTTAATTGTTTTACAACGAAAATATATATGATTCCCTCGGAGGAGATCCAAAATTGTTTCTTCGTTCTGTTGTATTCTCAAATGAGTGAATCGTGGAGTAACTTGACTTCCCAATTTAACTATTTAAGCCGAAACATTAATATAAAATAGAGAAAGTGTAAATAAGAACAGCACAACAATTAAGCATAAAATAAACCACGTACTAATTAAAGCAATGAAAGTCCTGTTTACGAGAAAAAAATGACTTTTGAATGCAATAAGCCAGTAATAGAATATAAGCCGATCATACGCCAATTGTGCACAATTATAGAGGATTACTGTATCTTTGGCAAATCTTAATCATTTTTGATCACTTGATATTAATTACTTAAAATGAAAACATTACTTATTTTGAAAATAAAAAATAAGAGTTTCTTTAAAAATAAGCACATTTATCATTTTCAAATTAGGTCAACAAGAAAATTATTTCTATTTTAAATTTCACACTAATTTACCGATGAGTATACTTGGTTAAATGTAAATTTTTAATATTAGCCAAACATGCACATAACATAGCATATTCATTAAAAAAAGAAAGAAAGAAGAGCATATTTATAGTATAACAAAAAAAGGAGAGAGAAAAACAAAGGAAGGAAAATAGGAAAGAAATAATTAAAAAGAATGGAAGAATGAAATACCTCTTTCTTGTTGTGCTCATCAACTGCAAATCGCGCAAGGGTATCGATCTCAAGGCTGTTCTGGGTGTTGGAATCGCGCAAGCCTCCTAGAGTTGCCATTTCGATGGTATTATCCTTCTCGTGTTCTTCGCCACAAAGCCCTAACTTGTGATCTGGATTAGAATGTGAAAACCAGTGGGTCGAAACTAACAGCAGAAGTACAAAAAGGAAGACGAAGCTTGTGTTTATACGTGCGCTCATCTCATTTGCATTTGCGATATGTGAGAAGCGGAGCTTTTGATGTTCTTTAAGATTGGGAGTTGCCGGTTGCTTTTATGCTTTGGCACTTTATGAATGTAGCGAACACGTGGCGCCTGCTGCCTTCGTGCCCACTTTGCTTTATCTATAAGCATTTAAAAGTCAAATCGGATAGATTCGTCTCCATTCGCACACCTCCCAGGCTCCCACACCCGTCTTCAGTGTATTTCCCTGTTTGATTCTAATTTTTCAATCAATAAATCAAATTTTTTTTTATCATTACTCAACATGGTCAATCATCATTTTTTACTTCTTCACTTACAGGTGTGATGTTTTCTAATAATTAAAAGGGTAATTATCACAAAATGTCCCTACTTTTAAGATTTATTGTGAAAAACGTCCTCACATTTCATTTTTTGACATTTTTGTTTTTAAACCTTTCTTTGCGAAAAAAGTCATTTTCACCATTTTTTAATGTAAAATGATCAAAATACCCTCTCATTTAAATAAACCCAAAAAAAGAAAAGAAATATAAAGAATAAAGTACAATCTTACTCCTAAATATTTTAAAAAGTGCAAATGAGTCCAAATAATTATTAAAAGGTCTAATAGAACAAAACGTCCATACGTTTCAAATTGATGAAAAATGACGTTTTTCACAATGAAATGAGAAAATAAGGATAAAAACGCAAAAAAAAATTCTAACATAGAGACGTTTTCTGCAAGAAGTGTCAAACGTAGGAATTTTTTGTTGTTAGTCCTTACTAAAATATAAAAAAAAAAAAAGAAAAAAGAAAAAACCTCTCTCTCTCTCTCTCTCTCTCTCTCTTTTTCTCCCAATGGGTCGGCCTTTTTAGAAGTCAACTCTAGCAAACCACCACCCAAATTGCTGGACCACCATATCACCGAAAAAGCCCTCACTTCCTTCTTCACATACCACCCAACATCCAACTTTGAACCATTTATGCCAATAAATTTGTTTGGAATTGCAAGCCAAAATACCCAACTCGCGAATGCCAATGCTGGCGACATCACCTGTTCCGGAGAGACTCATGTCATTTCCAACACACTAATCAACTATACTAACTAGGGCGCCTATCTTCATTGTCTTAAAATAGCAACAGATGGTCCAGTGGTACGAAGGTTCGACGATTTAGGCAATAGGTGGTCAAAGTTTTTTCACTGCTAACGTGACAATCCCATTTGGAGAAAAAGAGGAAGGAGAGAGAGAGAGGATGTATGTGTGTTTTTTTTTAATATTTTAATAAGACCTAATAGCAAAAAAGATCTCTACGTTTGACACTTCTTGTAGAAAACATCCCTACGCTTCAATTTTTTTGACATTGTCAGTCCTATTTTCACGTTTCATTGTGGAAAACATCAATTTTCACCAATTTGAAACGTATGAACATTTTTCACAATATAGGTCAACTGTAGGTACGTTTTGTGCAATTAGGCCTTTTAATAATTATTTGGATTTACTTGCACTTTTAAAAATATTTAGGAGTAGGATTGTAATTTATTTTTTATATTTCTTTTCTCTTTTTTGGTTTTATTTAAATAGGATGGTAATTTGGTCATTTTATATTAAAAATGATGAAAATGACGTTTTCCGCAATTAAAGGTTTAAGGGCAAAAATGTCAAAAAATGAAAAGTGTAAACGTTTTCCACAATAAACCCTAAAGATAGGGACGTTTTGTGCTAATAACCCTAATCAAAAAATTGATTCTAACAATCAGCCCCCGTTTGAGCCACATTATTGTAAAAATGAGAATGAAAAATATAGTCGTTAATGTGATAGATAACGGTCATATTTTTCATTTTAATGAGAATTTAATGGGACTCAAACAGGGCTCAACACGGATCAAACCCTAAAACTATTAGAAGTTTTCTTTTAATTCTCAAAAAAGGATTACACTCCTAGTCGAAGACTCGAATCGAGTCCATTGATTGGATGGGGACGTTCTTGATTCCAACAATGACTCATAAGTTATTGAATCAATGATCGTATGTAATGTAGTTCAATTCTTAAGCATAAAGCAACACAAATCAGACTTACTAGAAAAAAGTTTTATAATATCAAAAATTACTAAGCCCCCTGTTTGTTTACCATTTTTAGAAGAAAAATAGCTGTTATTGGGCCCCACCCGACATGACAAGTTTGACTTGCTTTTCACAATTTGTGTGGATAGATGAGCCCAATGGTTGAAAATTTCATTCTTATTTTTGGAAAAATGCCCTTCAAACAGACACTAAAGCAAATGGTGAGTAATGTATAGCTAGTCTTCAAGTCTCAAATGAGCTAAAAAGCGTCACATGCAAGTCTCCACAGTCGCAATGCGCAAACCTCTTTCCTTCACGGGTACCAAACCCGCTTGAAGAGCCAAAATTCAGCATATGCTAGGGAATAACATGTCATAATTCTGCTAGCAAGCCATAAGTATCCCCTCTTGGTCCCCAATCACAACCCCAATTCCAATAAATTGTTTTATGTATTTCACATTTTTACTATAGTCATCGCGATAATGAAATATTATAAACACTATCGAATACACAGTTCTTTGAATTTCAATTTTATTGGTCACGCAAGTTATGAATTTGATATAATTTGTGAAAGAGACGTACAAGGAAACATAAGTCACATTTGATATAATTTTTTAGGACAAACATGTGCCAAAGTTAACCTGTTTTGTATGTAATCATCACGACTTGCAAAGATGTCAATGCTACTTGGGGATATATACAACGAAAGTCATGAATATAATTATACAATAGACGTAGTCAAATACGTAGAATATTACACATAAATTTTACACAAATAGAAAATTACACGACAAATGTCACAAACCTTAGTATTTACATCCATTGGGCACGTGGGATAGTTTTATTAGACGTCTCAACTTACGCCACATCATTATCTACTGTTCACATTACTAATCAAAATAAAAGAAGCGAGATAAATGGATGATTACGGAGTAAATAACCACTTCGCTAAAAATTTAGAGTGGAATGTGATGAGAGAGAAAATATATCTATATACAGTTATATAACGTTTTGTCCACATCTATCCACCAATTTAAGCCACGTTTAGTATATGATCTAAATTTTAGACTCTATTTGATAGTAATTATCGAGGAAAAATGATTTTTTGTATAGTGGTTTTTTAGGAACAAGCGATTAAAAAAGTAGGAAAACGTTTTGAGTTTATATATAAAATATTTTATCGTGTGAATGTGTCGTTGAACATTAGCATGAAAATCGAAAAGTTTTATTTTAGAGGGAGGCAAACAGGGGCTTAATTATTATCATCATTTTTTAGATAAATTGTGAACTATGGCCTAATTTTTGTAAACTTTATCAAATTTTGATATTTGTCACATGTAAACGATATTGCACGAAACGAGAAATCTAAAACATAAATTTTAGAAACACAAATCTTATATCGACTAAAGAATGAAATATAAAATCAAGAAATCTTATTAAGCCCCCATTTAGTCCCCATTCTCCTTCTCATTCTTTTTCTCTCTCTTATTTTCAATTATACAATTTTCAATAAAATAATATCACACATAAATTAAAAACTTTTCATTCTTTTTCAATCATATATTTTTCAAAAAAAAAAAGTTGCTAGGCATACAGAAGGGTAATGACAGAAGTATTCCAAATGAGCTAGCAATTGTTGGGGGGGAAAAAAGCAAAAAACATTAAAGCAAAAAGAAAACAAACCCATACGGTCAACCCACAAAGCCACCGTCCAAATCAATTATAATAAAAAAAAAACCTCAACCCAAAACCTCTCCCAATTTCAAAGCTACAAAACTCTCACAAAGGGTCTCGTCGCCGAACCTTAATTGCGACCGACTTCTTCTCCGTTCTCTTCACCATCTCCGGCCGTAGCCTATGCATTCAAGAACAAAGAAGCCAATATCTTTTCCATGGTAATTTTACCGATTTCATAGCGTTTTGACAAAGTGAGATTTGTGGGTGTGTCAGCATATTTTTTACGGGTTTTTCGATAGTCACCGTACGACCTCTAGAAGGTAAGATTTGTAGGTTTTTGAACAAATTAGGAGTTCGTGTTTTGTTGAAGACATGGGATATGCATGAGATTGTTGAGAAGTAGTGAAATTGGTGTAGTTTGTATTTTGGTAAAAGTATAATGTGTTGTCTCTATTTCATAAAATTGAGCAGAAACAAGAGGTGGTTTGATTACGTTTGTTTGCACCCAAATTGACGAATCTGGCCTCCAAATGCTTCCTTTAAATGTGATGAAACTAGTAAAATTCAAATGCTTCCTGTAGAATTCTAAATTAGTCGAAGGTTTAGATGTTCTAGTCTTCTAGATAATTCGGCTGGTTCTTCTCAGAAGTTGCGTATGATGGCTTACTTTCTGAAATGAGACGATTGTCTTCATATTCGTGTGTGTGTGTGTGTGTGATGTATATGTTTTTCTTGGTCCACATAAAGGGATTCAAATATCAAGCTTTGGGTTAGCATAATAGGTTGATTTCCCATTCCCATTTCATCCCATCTTGTGGGATTGCCAATTTGTGTCACAATGGAATACTATTATGTAGTTGTATTTGCTTGGTTTGGAGTGCAGGTATCTGCAGGCAGTTAAAGGCCTGGGATTTGGAAGGTGATTGGGTGTCCACATTTGAAGCCCTGATTGACATCTAAACAAATGTAATGTGGTGATAACTTGCATTTTTGGAATGTTTATGCTATATTGTACAAAAATTGTTGTATGTTATTATTTGAAATTTGTAAACGTATCTCTTCGTTCTTGTTGGTATAGAATTGAGATGAACAAAACCAGTGATACTTTGAAACATTTGGTAGCTATATGAACACTAGCTTGAATGCATGTGGTTGTTTCCCATGTAGGGATGAGAGGGAGGAATTACGGCGTTTGTCACAGCTGTAGAAGTACATATCAATTCTTCGAAGAATGCCACAAAAAACAACATTGTCCATGGTGTGTAGATGGAATCCAAAAATGTTTTGAGGTTGAAAAGGAGGGAAATAACAAAGGTCGACTATTCAAAACTTGCAGTAATGACTGCAGATTTTTTAACTGGGTAAAAGAAGAAGCAAACGGCAAGTCGAGTTCCATTAATGAAGCAATAAATCCTATTGTGAACGAGG